TTAAGTATATAATAGATTTCTAGGATTTCTCTAATTTATTTGAGAGCCACGTAGCAGAGTAAAAGAGTTTGTACAAAGTTTAATGTAATTTTAGTATATAATAGATAGATTTAGAAGATGGTTTAAAGAACATTGATTGGATATTTATTATAGATCTTAATTTAACTAAATATATTTATACATGTGAAGTAATATATTTTATCTTTATATTGTAGAAAATCATATTTTAAAAACGGTTGATTTTTATGGATGTATGTTGTTTGTGACTTTTTTATGTACAAGTGTATGGTTTTTTTTTCTTCCAGCGAAGGTTAAGAAAGCTTGATCATTTTATTTTCAATCATGTACGTTTGTATGTTACGGAAAGAACATCAGTAACGTTTGTATCGTACAATCTCATACATACGGACAGTAGCAGCTAGCGTTTGTATGTTATAAACATGTGGAAGTTATTATTTTTTTAATAATAGATCTAATCTAATGGTGTAAAATAACGGGTCCACCAATTTAAGTGAAAATCAACGGTAAGATTAGATAGTGCCATGTGGCGACTTAGGAGTGTTTGTAGGAGTGCCACGTGGCGGCTTTAAAGCGTTTGTATGAAGTTTAATGGACTTTTAGTACATAATAATAGATGTTAATGAATTTGGATAGATATATATGTCTAGATTCATTAACATAAATATGAATGTGGGAAATACTAGAATGACTTACATTGTGAAATGGAGGAAGTATATATATTATTGGACAGAGGGAGTATATTTTAGAACGGATTGCATTCATACGCACATATATATACTTCCTCCGTCCAAAAAAAAAGTAACTCAACCTAAGAATGGAGATTCATTGTATTACCAAGGATCACATCTACTTCTAAATTGAGTTCTCTTTTTACTACTCGATCGATGCTCCTTGTTGTGGGGGATTCCTATTTCGCGCGCGCTGGCTACGGAAGTAGCGCGCTGCCACGCCCCCCTCAACACCTTGCGCTGTTAGCACCGTAATTAGCGGTAATGATGATAGTTAGTGCTAATTATGGTAATTAGCAATATTTTCCTTTTTTTGGAAGGTTTTTTTACTAATAGATTGATACGAAATCTATACGTGAAGTCAAATTTTGAAAAATTTCAACTCGAAATTTGAAACTTTCAACCCAAGTTTGAAAACTTTCGATTCGGATTGAAAAACTTTCAAGTCAAGATTTGAATTTTCAAATCTTTATTTAAAAGTTTTCAAATTAAAATTTAAAAACTTTGAACTCAAAAAATTGAAAACACATGCTTTGAAGATTTAAAAAATAGTCAGAAAAAACGCGAAAAGAAAACGCTAGAAATAGGAGAAAATCGAAAAAGAAAAAATAAAATCGCAAAAAGAAAAAAAAAGAAAGAAAAAGCTTGGCGCGCGCGCTGTGCTGGATCGATCGTACCACGCCTGCATGCACAGAGAGGAGGGAGAGGGAGAGAGAGAGAGGCGTGCAGTGCAGCTAAGCTAGCAAATTCCTCGTGTTTTGTGATAGATAGTACTCCCTCCGTTCTTAAAAAAAGATAAACCCTGGGTTTACGTGTCTAACTTTGACTGTTTGTCTTATATAAAATTTTTTTATAATTCGTATTTTCATTGTTGTTAGATGATAAAACATAATTAATATTTTATGCGTGACTTGTCTTTTTAATTTTTTTATAATTTTTTCAAATAAGACGGACGGTCAAACGTTGGACGGGGAAACTAGGATTTGTCTTTTTTTTTTTGATGGAGGGAGTATGCTGGAGTAGATGCTGGTGCTGCTGCTGTTGGTATTTCGGGATGAACGACGACGTACGCGCGGTCGCCGGCCCGGCCGGCCAGCCTCCAGCCGGCGTACGCACGGCGTAGCATGCAGGTAGGTAGCTGCAGTGCCATGCATTGTGCGCGCGCGGCCATGTGGTGGGTGTACGATACGACCGACGTCGGCGGGGCAGGCGGGGGGTGTGGAGCCCTCGATCGGCGTGACGACTTGACGCTACATGTGTTGGAAGGATCCATCAACTGCCAAACCAACATCTCAGTTATTTGCTCCCCGTGTCTCAGAATACAGTAAGGCAGAATTAGATTAGACACCATCTAATAATATTATGAATTTCAGTAACGCTATATCTAGATTCGTAATAATTAATGTACTAGATGATATCTAATTTGATCCTATGTTTATTATATTTTAAAACGGAAAGAGAGAAGGAGTAGCTAGCTAGCTAGGGTTAATTACCTGATGTAATAAGGTTATCACCAGTGATAGAAAATTAAGGAAATGCATGGAGTGGAAACTGACTGAAAGGTTTAATACAAATGAATCTCGCTAGAGACGCTAGTGTTAGACATTACTGTAATACCCTGTATATTAAAAGATATTTAGTATTTTTAAGTTTGGGTTGACTTGTTAAAATAAAGATGTTAACAGAAATAAATAAAAGAAAAAATATCTTTAGAAGTGGGCCAACATGAGAAGGCCCATAAACCCAGCCCATTAGTTCTCCCCTAAAACCTAGATAGAGGGGAACCGAATCCCACTTCCCCTCATAGTGCCGCCACCCCTCTCCCTGGCCGGCGCCTCCTTCCTCCCCTCCTCCTGTGTTCGCATCTCTCCCATCTACAGCAAATTGCTCTCCCTAGATCTCCACCTTCATAGCTTGGATCAAGAAGCGAAGTAGAAAAACGGAACGAGGAGGAGGAGAGGAGTAGAAGGAGGGGTTAGACCGGAGTCTCCCCTATTGTCTCCTCACAAGTTCTCTAAAAAAACCGTAGGTGAGGCTTATCCCCTTGTTGTATTAGTTATTCTAGTATGGCTTTAGTGCATTAATTCGTGGTTAGTGAAGGCTAGAGAAGGAGTTTGGGTAGTTGCGGTTCGGTTTGTTGCAGTTCTGCATGTGGGCAGATTTGCAGTGCTTCAGTTTTTCGATATTTCGGGGCTCTAAATGTTATTTTCTGCAAAAGTGTATAACTAGGAAGTTGTAGATAATGTTTGGATATATCTTCTGACTAAAGGGCACGATTTTATCTTAAGTGGTTTAGGAGATATAATTTTTTTAGTATGATTGTTGTTTTTTTGTCATAATCTGGATAGTAGTAGACTGAACTGTTTTTGAATGGGTTAAACAGTATAATCAGCCAGGCCGCCTATAGAAAACATTGTAGAGGTTTTTCTTAGCTTACCTTATTGGTAAAGTACACCCTGATTGGGCGAGTAGAACTCCAGTTAAGGTTGTTTTAGTGTAGACAGTCTGAAATTCTGGACAGATTCTAAAGCCTGCATTCAAGCGCAAATTAGACCATTTAAATGGCAGAATAAAAATATGTTTTCTACATGAAAGTTGTAGGTATTTTTTTGTAGATTTTCAAAATGTATACATTTTCAGTCATAGCCTTTTCATATTTCAAGATATAAAGGTTTGAAGCAACAGTCTTGTGTATAGTCCAAGCGACGTTCCTTGTTATTGAGTTTTGATAGGATGGGGCAGTAGGTTTACCTTTTTCATTGTTTTATACGCATGTTTGAATGTGTTTGCTAATGTTTTGTTTGTGATTAGGTGGTGGTCCATCAGATCGTACATGATACCAATCCTTCGTTGGAGGTAAGTGCATGACGAACTAATTGTGTGATTCATCGATTGTTTACTCTATCTATTTATTTCTGATATATTTCAACGTGATAAGTAACTGCTTATGTTCATATTATTGTTCACGCCATTTAGATTTCAAGTTGATCTTTTGTGTACGATGTTATTCTTGTTTTAATATTCTGGATTCTGGTTCTGCTTAAATAAGTCAAGTTCTCTGCTTGCCATGGATGTGTTTCAATTTGGTTCTTTAATTCTGGTTTCAATTATTCAAGTACCATGCGTAGTCATAGGAGTGCAATTTGGTTCTTTATTCAAGTTCCTGTGGGTAAGCACTGATCACGCTTACTTGGCTTTGCCGGCAAATGCTAGGATGTATTCACTATTGTCCGGGATGGAAACTACTATTTCAATTCATACCTGCCCGGGATGGGAACTACTATCTTCTTTGATTTGGTGTTTGAAAATGCGTTTCCTATCAAAGAAAGAAAGCCTTCTGTTCATGCTTTATTGCCAATGTTGTGTATATGTGTTTTCTAGTTCCATATTGTACTTGCTGAGTATTTTTATACTCACTCTTGTATTTTATTTGGTTTTAGGTACGCATTGAGACCGACATGCACGAGCGGGAAGTAGCACCCTTATATACACATTACTTGCACACTATCAAACTATATTGCTTAGGTCCATAATGACACTTAAATTATATCCTGGTTTGGTCTTGTAATAATCTTTTAGATTTCTAATAGTTTCTTCCCCATGGATTATAAGGATGGATCGTATTGTGGGAATGATATTGTTATTAGTTTAACTTATAATTGCCTGTCGTGGATGTCCGTATTTATATGGGAGACTCTGCCAAAATTTCTAATATTTTTGGGAGTTAGTGGTTTTGAGTGTATTTTAGTGTGGCACTCCAGGTACGTGGCTACCTGGGGCATTACAATTACTCCCTCCGATTATGCAAAAGTTATTGATATTTTGGTCTGGAAAGAAGATAGGCCATGTTTGGATAATGGGTTTGGGATATGATTTCCCACCCCTCAAAGGGTAAATTTCAATCCTAGCCATCCATTCTTCTCATTCCATTTCATCCTATCCCTCCATTCATTTCCATTTCCCAGTCCCACCTCTCCTAACCCATTATACAAACAAACCCGTAATGTTATATTCGTTGCAAAACAAAAACTAATGCGATGGCTCCCTCTGATCGAGTTGGCACAGTGGATAGATGTCAATGTATCCACAAGCAAACAGTTGAGACATCTAGGGCCCATCAATCGATTGAAGCTGCAGCTATACTATAGCTAGCTAGCATGCATGCATGCATGGCCATGGATCGATGATCATCATCCATCAAGCATGATATCTCAAACACACCTCGAGCCGTCTTTTCCCTCCACATTTATTGTACTTGCGTCCCCCAAACATGGCCACTGTGCTACACATGGACAACGGTCTACTCTCTCTCTCTCTCTAGATTCCTCATTTTCGCAAACATTCCCCTCTCTTCCTCCCTCCTCTGCGATCCCAACCTACCCATATTTAGACACCACAAGAGAAGAAGAAAGAAAGAATTGAAGCTGTGTCTAGCTAGGTTAGCTTAGCTTAGGTTGTTTGCGGAGATCAATCGATGGCGGACGGCGGCGGCGGCGGCCTGTGCGAGCTCTTCTCCGACGACCACCGCGACATCCGCCACGTCGCGGACGCCGACCTGTTCCGCATCCTCGAGACGTGGGAGGAGTGCATCAATGGCGGCGCCGGCGGCGGAGGCGGTGGGGTTTCTTTAGCTGGTGTGGCTGATCAGGGAGCCGCTGCGGCCAGCACCGGCGCCGGCGGTGGTGCAAGGACGACGACGACGACGACCGCCGCGAACGGTCGGCGGCGGGAGGGCCGCGACGAGGAGAAAGGCGGCGGCGGTGGCGGTGGTCCTCCGGCACAGAAGAAGCAAAAGGGGTCGTCGTCGTCGTCGTCGTCTCCGGCGGCGTTGGCGGCGGCGGTGGGGGACGGCGATGGTGCGGCGAAGATGTCGCACATCACGGTGGAGCGCAACCGGAGGAAGCAGATGAACGAGCACCTCGCCGTCCTGCGCTCGCTCATGCCATGCTTCTACGTCAAGAGGGTAATTAATCCATTCATTCTAATTACTAGCTTAGCTTAGCTCGCACTAAGCATAGTTTAGTGTCACTGTGTGTGTTGCACTACTAGCTAATGAAGCTAGAATGGCTCATGGGATTTTGATACTATGTATCTATAGCTGTAGCATCTAGAGTAACTTTTTTTTCCCTGATCGTGTACGTGCTGCTGCAACAGTTGCATGATTGTGTCCCATGTACATGGTACAGGACCAGCAATCAACCGTTGATGCTGCTGGTGCTGCATGCTTGAACTGCCCTAGCTTAGCTAGCTACCACCAGCCTACCAATAATTAGTAGTACAACTACTCTTGCATCATTAGAGAATCTATCTAGTACACACAGCTACCAATCCATACGAGAGAGAGAGAGAGATGAAGACACAGTGGCTTGCATCAATTATCTCAGAGAATGTATAGTACAGTGAATCATTGGTTGAACAAATTAATGGAGATTAATCACTTGAATAGATCAGTGCAATTAATTTAAATCTGATTTGTGTGTATTATTAATTGTGGGTGCAGGGAGATCAGGCGTCAATCATAGGAGGGGTGGTGGATTACATCAAGGAGCTTCAGCAAGTGCTTCGCTCGCTGGAGGCCAAGAAGAATCGGAAGGCCTATGCCGACCAGGTGCTCAGCCCGCGGCCGTCGCCGGCGGCGGCGGCGCTCATGGTCAAGCCCACGCCGCCGATCAGCCCGCGGTTCGCCGCCGCCGCCGCCGCCGGGGTGCCGATCAGCCCACGGACGCCCACCCCGGGCAGCCCGTACAACAAGCATGCCGCCGCCGCCGCCACCGCTCGCCCGCCGCACCCGGCGGCCGCGACGTCGTCGTGCTCGGTGGCGTACAGCATGTCGCCGGCCATGACGCCCACGTCGTCCTCGTCGACGACGACGACGACGACGCACGAGCTCTCGCCGGCGCCGGCGTTCCTGCCCATCCTCGACAGCCTCGTCACCGAGCTCGCCGCCCGCGGCGGCGCCAGCTGCAGGCCGCTGGTCATCCCCTCCTCCGCCGCCGCCATCGCCGGCATCGTCGGCGTCCCCGACGTGAGGGTGGAGTTCGCCGGGCCGAACCTGGTGCTGAAGACGGTGTCGCACCGCGCGCCGGGTCAGGCGCTCAAGATCATCGCCGCTCTGGAGAGCCTCTCGCTCGAGATCCTGCACGTCAGCATCTGCACCGTCGACGACGCCACCGTCCTCTCCTTCACCATCAAGGTAAAATACTAATCTACTGTATATTTTATTACTCATCAGATTCATGGAGATCAATCTCTGCATCGTCCATAACATGCTACACTAAATCGATCTCGAAAAACACTCAAAACACATGCGATATTATATTACACGAGACATGCACGCACACGAGTTTAATATATAATCAATGTACACATTAAGCAAGTGCACTGATCAGTGATATGATATCGATCGATTTATTTGAACAGTAATTGGTAGGATGTGTTCATTTCATGTGACCAAGAGTACTACAGTGCTACAGAGCCACACACTGAAACTGAAACTAAGCATGCGTATACGCAGGATTGCATTAATTAAGCCCCAAATCAACCTTCAACTGTTCATGTCCTGCATGGATTCTCCTTCTTTGGCCCATAATTCCCTCTCATAGATATATATAAATCTCTACGGTTGTCTCTGCATGTTTAAAACTTCTTCCATTATTCGATGGGTTTCATAAATGCAGGCATACGTATCTGCATGCTGTATAGGCTAAGTTTGTGTTCAGACATTTCTAATGTAGAGCTCAGATACACAGTGAGTGTGTACGTACATACAGGGATTTATAACACAGGCCTGATGCATGAGTATTTATTGGAAATGGCACTTCTGTGTATATATACATTATCTTTGAAAGAGCTCGAGAAACTGCCAGAGCCAGAGCGGGTATAAGTAATTAATATGAACACATAAATATATATTCGGGGATAAATGTCACTACTGGTGCGAAACTATGCATGAGCAGTCGAGCAAAGCACGAGCTGGGAAGAATATGCGTGTACACAATAGTAAAAGCTACAGCTTTGGTAGCTGTAGAACGTTGAGTGATTAAGGTCCTCTTTGTTTAGGATTATAAGCCAACTTATAAGCCAAAAAGTCTAAGCCTAAACAAATAAGCAGCTTTTTCGTTTGGCTTTTTTGAAGCCATCAGCCACTCTTACACTATTAAGTCAAAAGCTAGGTTGGAGAAGATTTTTTGGTTTATATGAGATAGATGTATGACTCCACCACTAAACTTAGGACATTAAATAAGCAGACTTAAAAATCTAAGCCAATAAGCCAAAGCCTAAATAAAGAGGGCCTAAACCTGCTTGCAAGTTGCATGCACACACACACACACACACACACACACACACACACACACACACACACACACACACACACACATATATATATATATATATATATATATATATATATATATATATCGACGATATAATGCTTGTTTAGCTAGCTAGCTGTTAATTCTGTTTTACTATATGATATGTGTATGCATGGTAATCAAGCACACAGATCGACACAGTAGAATTTAATTTGCTTGTATATTAATATACATATATTTGGATGCAGTGTTAATTAAGCTGGCTAGTGAACTGACAATGGATTCGTTGATTTGGTTTGTGTTTGTTCATACAGATTGGGATCGAGTGCGAGCTGAGTGCAGAGGAGCTGGTGCAAGAAATTCAGCAAACTTTCTTGTGACGTGTAACATACAGTGTCAGTGCAGTGACTGGCTAGCTAGCTAAGCTAGCTGGAGTACGTAGCCGCGTGCATAACTATACGTGCATGTACACGCGTGCGTAACGTACGTGCTAGCTTAGCTAGCTAGTAGCTAATTGCGTTTGGCTTAATTAGTTTGCACTTTAATTTCATGGGCCAATCTAGCTAGCTATCTCTATCCAGCGATCGATTGAGAGAGTACGTACTGTGTGTGAGAGAGAGAGAGAGAGAGAGAGAGAAGGGCTAGCTAGTAGATTAGATAGCTTGGAGTTGCAGAGTTGCAGCAATGCATTGGAGCTATATATATGCAATGCAAGCTGCATCCATGCATGCTGATCGAGAGGTTAACGACCTACCTACTAGCTAGAGATCGAGAGATAGCTATCTACTAGCGGGACCATGCATATGCATGGATGATCTGTTTCTGTCTCTGTAGCTAGACACGAACGATTTGTTATATATATATCTTGATCTGCTTAATTTCTTGCATTAAGTGTTTATGTGCATGATGTATAATTTAATAACTCCATTCGCGTGTGCGAGATCAATCAGTTTTAGTAGTATTTTTGTGTAGGGATTTTGCCGATCCCAGCAACTATCTGCGAAAGTGGGATCGAAATATTAATCACGCAATGGATTAGACATGGATTCGACTGATCATCACGAGTTTTACGTATATACAGGTCCCGACCACACCATATCCTTACTGCAGTACTCCCTCTATTTTTTTAATATATACGATATTGTTGATGTAGTATTTAGACATATATATTTGACCACTCATTCTATTTGAGAAATTACATAACTGTTTAAAAAACAGAGAGAGCACTAAATATGAAGGGGCCTCACAACCGTCTCCTCCTCCTCCTCCCTCCTCTCCCCTCCTCCACACCGCCGTCCCTACACCCGCCCCCACTGCCGTCTCCCCCCACCTGCCTCCTCCGTGCCTCCTCTCTCCTAGCCCGGGGATCTTGGTGATGGCGACGGCGGCGCGACAGCACGCGACAACAGCGGCGCCCTCCCCTCCACCAGATCCGGCAGGAGGGCGGCGCTCCCTTTCGCCAGATCTGACGGAAGGGGAGGCGGCGGGCTCCCCAAGCCATCTGCCTCATCCCCGTTGTCCTCATCGCTGATGGCTGCATTATCACTGTCGTGTCTTTGTCATTGTTGCCCGCGCTCGCCCTTCCCGGTCTAATTAAGCTCGGGAACTGTGACTTTTTTAGTGATTGTGAGTGTGACTTAGCAAATTGTTTTTGGTTGATTTTGATTCCTAAATATGTTTGGATGGTGAATCTTTCTCTTAATGATTGTGATTTAGTGAACTTTTGATGGATATAGTGATGTGAATCCGCTCTGCAGTGCTTGCTCAGCTCGGTTTGATTCCAGTCGAGCCGAGCGTTTTTTTTTTTGGACTCGTTCGCCCCTAAAGGTGCTAGTTCTTGGCTAAAACTGGCAAGTATATATTATTATATATATCGATTCTACAGGCAGCACCGATGACCGAAGTGATCAGTGCCGCCTGCTGGGTACCGGTTGGAAAATTTGACACCTATGACTGGTTCCCAATCGGCACAAAAGACTTTTTTGCACTAGTGTTTTGATTCTTTAGTTTTATTCAAATAAATAATTAGGATTTGTGCATCTGCAGAGGTCGGAAATGTAAGTTTTTCCATTATCTGAAAAAACCTTCTCTCTCTCTGCACACGCTATGCGCGTTTTAATTTTACATTCTAAATTGCATTTTTTTTCTTTGTTGAATTATTAGAACGTGGGAATACTCATCAGCATGGTTGATCAATGACATACTAGTATATTTTTTCATTAAGTAACATAAACCTGTTGCAGGTAAGTGGTATAATAATAAGTACTTCCTCCGTTTCACAATGTAAGTCCTTCTAGCATTTTCCATATTCATATTAATGTTAATGAATCTAGATGAATATATATGAATGTGGAAAATGATAGAATGACTTACATTATGAAACGGAGGGAGTAAATATGAGGTAGAAAATGACTTGTAGCCAGAAGATTTGACTGCACGTGCTTTACACAATTACACATTATATAGATTCTATAATGCTAGAAATTAATATCAAAGATGATAAGAGAAGAAAGGAGAAATGAGAGAATATATATATATATATCAATGATCACAAAGCTAAAAATAATATAGAGGCGGTGTGCAAAATTGCTAGATGAGATGATATGATGTGTATAACCTTATGACAGAAGAGAAACAACGTGCACTATAGATAAATTAATACTGAAAGACTAAAAATAATTAAGATGTGTGGTTTTTTAATAGAAAAGAGAATTAGTATTAACTACTGCTATCAAGTGCAACAGTTGATTGAAACTGATCGAGGTGCTAAATGTTTTGGCCATATGCATGAATCCGTATTGTTAGAAAGAAGGATATAAGATTAGCTCGGTAACTTCTAATAATTGAGACAGCTGTATGCAGAGTTCATTTATCATAATATATATAAATGTAATAGATACTACTGTTTCTTTTCAGGTTCACTACGTTTCACGTATAGTTTCGTAGATCATTTTTTAATTATTGTTTGTGACGCTCTGAATTCTAATTACTGTGGACCTGAACATAATGCATGCATGGTAGCAGATCGGCTAGACTAATCTAATGTTAGTTTCAAAAATCCAATGCGACTGGACACCTAAAAACTTCCAACGCAAAATGCTTTAGGCCTCATTTCGATGGGCCACAAATCGTGTCCAGGCCAGAATTTTGTTATTTCTGGTCCATGGGCAGGAAACATGGCCATCGAATATATGGGCTGTCATTTAAGTATTTTTCTAGCCCATACACTTGGATGGGCTAGAGTTGTGGCCCATCCGTATAGGCCCAATTAGGCTGTGTTGATCACTGCGTGGCCCTGGTGTTTAGGCCCATTGAAAGAGATGCACCAGAGTCCCGATAGCATGAAAAGTTAAGGTACACGTCAGCGTTATAAAAAAATTGCCAGAAAAGATGATACAACTTTGTATTGAAAATTTTGAAATCCTTGAAAAACATACTTTTGCTTCACAACTGGACTCTATCCAGATCATGTTTTGTCATCCATTTGAGCTGATGATTTACACGTCAAGCATGTCAAGTATAGTACAGGACATGAACTCTTTTTAGTGCTAGTGATCCCACATTTACAGGTGCAAAAAGATGAAAAACAAAACGAAAAATCAGAACGCATCAACTGGATACACCATACCCAAAGATGTACTTAAAAAAAACTTGCCCCCCAATGAGATAATATAAGGATCGGACTAAATATTGATACAACAAAACACTCTTCCTTTTGATATCATATAAACAGCTCGATTCCATCTCCTCTAGGCCTGGTAATATATATCTTGTACAGATATGCCGTCGAGATCAACGATGAACTCGGTCTTCAGCAACTTATGCCTATGGTGCCGATGGTGAAGGCGACGATGGTGGTTTGAGGTCTGGATACTGCATTGCAAATTCACAAATGTAGGTTTGATGACAATGGCATTGATTGCAGCTTATGTTCATATGGCAATGGAGCTTGAGAAGCTGTAGCTAGCTTACATTCGGGTAAGGCGAAAGAGGTCTCGGAGCTGCAGGTGGCGCCGCCTCTGGGGCGGCTTCTGCTACTGGTGCTGAGTTAACTGCAGGTGCAGATTCGGTCGCTGCGCTCTCGGATTCCGACTCATTTTTAGTCGCCTCAGCCGGTGCCAGTGGCGAAGGGGAGGATGGTGGTTTGAGATCCGGATACTGCATAGAATTTGCAAATTCAGAGTGATGAACACTATGTCAAGGAATGATTTATCAGGTGAAAGAGATGAATGGCAATGAGTATATATCAGGTGTGGACTTACATTTGTATATGGTGAAAGAGGTGTCGGCTCTGCAGGAGCTGCCTCTGTACTGGTCTCTTCTACCGGTGCTGCCGGTGGTGCAGCGGTAGCTGTGGCGGCAGCTGGAGCAGCTTCTGCTGTTGCTGGAGCAGCTTCTGTGATTGCTGGTTGGCTCTTGGTACCAGTAGAAGGCAGCAGAGCCTGACCGATTTCCTGCAGATTGCAAGAGGGTATTACCATTTTACAGAACAAAACCTTGTAACGAGTATTTACTATGTGAAGAATGTGAGTTTTCTGAGTTCAGAAAAAAGGGACAGCAGAGTCTGGCAATGCAAACTGCAAATCCCATCAGGAAAACCAGGTAAATATATTGAATGTTACATCCATTTTGCACCTTATCCATCTTGCTAATAGTACCAATCACACAATACTGTGAACAGTTGGCAACAGAGGTCATGAGGTCCACATAAATCTGAAGTTCTAACTATGTTTTGATTGGTTTGACAAAAATGCAAATTCAAAGAACTTGATGTTTAGTACATTTTTGGTCTTGATGTTTCTACTTACAAGACTTATTAGCGGTGTACCTGCTAGGAATGCTACTAAACTAAATACAATAGGTTCATGCATGCCTAAACTCTCCAGGAATGAACTTGATCCTATTAAGAAATATTAGTCAGTGAGAAACAAGAAACTGAATATTCAGTAAGATAGATGGCTACCTTTATTTCATCAACAAGCTCCTTTGGAGCAACCTTTTTGTTGAAGAAATCATCGATCTGTTTAAGGGTTCTCTTTCGGTCCTGTAAGCAGCACAACAGTAAGAGCTTGTCATCGAAAAGGAACGTTGTTCATATCTCTGAAGTTCATTCAGAAGAGTAGGCACCTCAGCATATATGAGTTTGCTTGCAACTAGCTGGACAATGGCAGCTGACCCCAAAAACTGAAGCACAGTCTCTATCTACAGCATAGATATTACATGATCGGTAAGAACACAGAAGCAACTCCACAAAACATAAAAAAAAAAAACTTCCAAGCTGATCAACCTCTGTGTAGGCAAGTATTCCCAAACCAGTAGCTGCAGCAAGCCCAAGTGTGACAGGCAAACCATCTGTGCCATCCTGGTATTTTTGCACGTCATAATCAGAATTCGACAACATATATACAAATTCGAATCGACAAGAGAGTTGCATCGAGACCTTAGAATACAAAGAAATTAAATCAAACATAGTTGACACATCCTCAAAAGGTCATATTGATAATGATAACTCACCCCGATTAGATCGCTCAAGCTGAATCCCTTCTTGGGAGCTGTCCAGGGAAGACTACTGCTCTGCAGTTGAACACTAGCCAATGGTGACATTTTTGTTGAGCGAATGTAAATGTCAGCTCACAGCGAGAAACCGAGAACAAAGCTGTGCAAAGAGTTAAATACCAGCCATCCTCGGCGTCCCTCTGCACCATCCTTCACTGCAAAAGCAGCTTTGTAACCATTCGCTGTTACAAGCTCAGCAACCAGCTCGGAGTTCCCATCAAACCTGGTTTGCATAATATCCAAGCTAAATAAATGTTCAGGAGGAGAAAATAAACAAATTGAATCATGTACACTTGATGGTATAATTATTTGAAGTCTGACAGTTGTTCACAGATTTCTTGTGATATTGTTCAATCTTCTTCTTCAGAAAGAAAAAAATGTAGCCAACTCTGAACATTGCTATTGTGTTCCATTTGCAGCAAAAATAAAAGAAAATTTTTGTTTCTTTTTCCCTGAAATGAACTCGGACCATACAGAATTGATGAACAAGAGAGATTATTAAGAATATAACCACATTGCAATTAGCAGCAAAGATTTGAGGTGCCCACTTGTCAAGGATGACCAATGTGGTGTTCTCGGGGTCCTTGAACCTCAGCGACAGCTTCTTGAGGAATCCGTTCTTGTCCTCCCCGTCGTAGGGCACGGCGGCCGCCTTCTTCTTGGCCTCGCGGAGGTCGGGCGCGCCGCTCTGCCGGGCGTCGCCGGGCGGCCTGATGTCCACCAGCTGCGCGCCGGGCTCCTCCACCAGCGCCCGGTACGCGGCGGCCGCCGACACCACGCCGTACGGCTTCGACGCCCCGCCCAGCACCTGCGCGAGCACCAGCGGCAGCGCCACCGCGGCGACCCCCGCCGCCGCCGCCAGCGGGTTCTGCGCCACGAAGTCGAGCACCCCGCCGAGGCCGAGGTCCGGGAGCGCGAACTCCCCGCCTCCGCCTCCGCCTCCGCCGCCGCCGGAGTCCGTCGAGAGACGCAGCGTCTCCTCGTAGGACAGCGGCGCGGCGAGCGCGGCGCTGGCGCCGCCATTGGCGAGGCCGAGCGCGGCGCCGAGGATGTCACGGGCTCTTAGCCGCCGCCTCCGGGCGGCGGGAGCGCGCGCGCGGGCGCGAGGCGGGGCGGTCAGCGGCGTGGGCGCGGCGGAGGAGAGGATGGTGGTGGTGGCGGCCATGGCATAACGGTGCGGCCACCGACGGCGAGCGGTGTCGCGAGGAGGAGGTGGCGGCAAAGCTTGTGGCGCGGGAAGCCGGTGGTGGGGCGGCGGAGATGAGGAAGGGGGGTGAGCTGGGAGGTGGCAGCGAATCGGAGGCCGCCACGTGGACAAGGAGATCAGACGTCGCAAGCGAACGGCTGAAATTCTACGGCTTTTTTTGTTTTCTTCTCTTTTCCGCGGTACAAACTGTGTAGTGTAGTGTAGTACGCGATGGCAACGGCGCGGCGCGTACGTCGTCAGTACGGCGGCGCGCCGGCGTGTAGTACGTGTACTTCCGCCGCCGGTGGTGCGCCGCCGCCCGCCGGCAATGCGGCCACGTACGGCATTTGCTGGGCTGAGCCAGTATTTCTAGGCCTCATTCGGGAGGAATAAGTTCACTTTAGGTCCCTCTATTTGTTGGTTAGTCTGATAAAATTACTTACGTGGCAATTTTATCAGAAAAAATAATAAAAATCATGGGACCCATATATCAGCTACACAAAAAATAATTAAAAAAAAGTGTGGCCCATGTGATCTCACATGTCAGCCTCCCTCTTATCTCTGTCTCCCTTTCTCTTCCCTTTCATCTGCGCTCCTACCATGCCGTCACTCACATCCACCATCGATATTGACTTCGCCCAGCGTACTGCCACCTTTTGTCTACTGCGCCTACCACGCCGTTGTCCACTACCTCTGTGTCATCCCCAATGCGCCCGGGTTGTCGTATTTCCGTGCCAGCCCTTTGGTGGCTACGAGCTAGGCCCTAGCGAAGCTGGTTGTTTCTGTTGCCGTCTGGTGAGAGAGGGGAAAGAGAGAGGAGGAGAGGGGGAGGTGATGAAGAAGATGATATCAGAACAACATATGGGTCCCATCTACTGACTCAACTAGTCAACCGCGGTCAATATATCACGTTAAAAACCACACAAAAGTTTATTTGTACAATATTTAGAGATGGGGGATGTTATATACTCCCTCATTCCCTAAATGTTTGACACCGTTGGCTTTTTTAAACATGTTTGACCGTTTATTTTATTCAAAAACTTTTGTGATATGTGTAAAACTATATGTATACATAAAAGTATATTTAACAATAAATCAAATGATAGAAAAAGAATTAACAATTACTTAAATTTTTTTGAATAAAACGAACGGTCAAACATTTTTAAAAAAGTTAACGGCGTCAAACATTTTGGGATGGAGGTAAAGTAGACTTATTTCATGCTACGGTGATTTAATCTTGAGCGAGGTAAAGTAGACTTATTTCACCAAATTCAAATCGTTTCGAAATTTGCGACTCCGATGAAATATTCGAAAGCGAAGCCACGTGGTTTGACCGGCGTCGCGAAGCCCAGCCACGCCACGCCACAGTCTTTCCAGAAGAGCTCACAGCTCACCCAGTCTCGCAGAGTCGCAGTGTCCTCCTCTCTACGTGCCGACGCATGCACGCCGCCACGTCGCGCGCCATGGCCACCCCTGCTCTCCGACCTGAACCTACCCGTTTCGTCGGCGAGCACGCGCGCCGCGCTCTTCTTCTTCCCCGCTCTCGCCTCCTCCATCCCATCGCGCCACGCGAGCTCGATCGATCGAGGTGTGTACACAAGGTGTTCGACAATGGTGAAGCTGGCGACGGCGAGGGAGTGCCGGGCGTACGGCTTGGGCGGCGGGGGGCGGGCGGCGCGGGGGAGGTGGGAGTACATCAACGCCGGGGCGTACGTCTTCGCGGCGGTGCTCCTAGCCGGCGGCTTCGGGTGGCACCTCTCCGCGTGGTCCGCCACCACCAGGTCCGGCCTCGCCGCGGCGGCGCTCGGGCTCCTCCTCCTCCTCGCGGTGAACGCGCACGACCTCCTGGCGCACGCCGCCGGCGTCGACTACAGCCTCGCACTCGCCGCCGGGCTCGACAGCCAGTTCGCTCTCGTCGAGGTCGCCGTCCCCGCCGTCCACTTCGCTGGCACCGTGCTCACCCTCATTGCGCTCATCTTCTTCGAGATTCAGGTTTCGATTAATTACTTTACTTCCCCTCTGCTTTTTATTTTTAAGAGTGTTGCTAATAGTATAGTGCTTTATTCAGTAGTGATGATAAACGTTTTCTGGTTTTCAAAGGGCAAAGTTGTGGTGAAAACATCTCAAAAAAATAAATCTGTAGTGAAAACATTTAAAAAACAAAATAGTAGTGACAGAGTGTACTAACTAGAAGCAGCAATACAAATTTCTCCTGTCCCATAAGGTCTGTATTAATTAGTCTCTCTGATTTTAATTAAGAGTGCTGCTAACTAGCTATAACAGTCTAGTGCTTTATTACGTAGTGGTGACAACATTTCTAATTTCATAAGGCAAAGTTGTAGTGAAAACATTTCAAAAATATAATCTATACTAAAAATATTAAAAAAACAAAATGGCAGTAACAAAGTATACTAACTATAAGTACTCCCTCCGTTTCACAATGTAACTTATTCTAGCATTTTCCACATTCATATTGATGTTAATGAATCTACACATATATATTTATTTAGATTCATTAATATCAATATGAATGTAAGAAATGATAGAATGACTTACATTGTGAAACGGAGGAAGTAGCGCACATATTTCTCCTGTCACAGCACGAACTTTGGAGAAAATGAACTAAGTCGTGAATCTTATAGACCTGTTTGTAAAAGAGGATTTTTTTTTTAAAGATTTCTCCGCGTGTTGATTTGTTTTTCTTTTTGATAAGTAAATGAGTACCGACTAGTGAGACCAGATGGATATGCAAATTAATTCCTATTTACTTCCGTTAAAATGTCAGGAACTAGCCAGCTAGCTAGCATAAACGTTCCAAAATTCAGTATCGCTGGTACGATTTTGAGTGTCAGTTAATTCCACTTATCTTAAATTGAAAAGTTTACTAGTGTAAAGTCCAGAACAATAAAGATCAATTCAGAAATTCTTGCTACCATCATATTTTGTCAAGAGTTCAGTAACTTAGAACACAGAAGACCAATGATGGCACAAGTGTCACTTAACTAGCACAACTCAATTTTCCATTACAGATGGCAAGAGGGTACAGGCACAGCCTAGAGAAGCACGGCCTGAACATGCTCATCGCCGGGCCGGCGCTGTGGTTACTCGGATCCATACAAAACATCTGCCAGGTATACGAACGCGCCAACGGGCATGTCCAGATCCTCCAGAAATGTGTCCAAACGCCGCTGCTGCTAGGGAGCACGCTGTTCTTGATCGGCGGCATCATCAACCGCCACGACATCCACAGCCAATCGACATCCCGTTCAGAGCTACTGGTAATTTGCACAAACCTCTGAATGTCTGAAAGTTGCAATGAGAACACGACATATGCATGAAGCCGATCAGTGTGGATATATATGCTACTGTACCTACTCTTGAGTAATAATTGTCACTCTGCTCTGGGATGCAGGGGAGGAGCTGGGGATGGTTCTGCGTCTCCGGCAGCCTGCTGTTCGTCGCGGCGGGGCTGCTGAACCTCCTCAAGGTGTTCAAGATGCAGCAGATGGACGGGCGGGGACTGGAGAAGCTGCGCGGCGGCGCGCAGGAGCGGCTGAACAGGGAGAGGGAGGGCAAGGTGCCCCTCATTCTTGAGGAAGGCCAGAGGAGGACCCCGGCTCCGGTGTCGGGCCAGGTCCCGCCGCCTCCGGCTGGGTCCTACAAGGAGGCCGTCGTCAGCGGCGCGCCGGCTGGCTAGCTAGCTAGCTTAGCAGCTGCACTGCACTGCACACAGTGTAACGATGAGAATAAGGGAGGTGACAAAACAAGGTGCCATGCATTACTGCCATTGCCACACTGTAATTTCGTATTTGCAGCTGTCACGTACTGTAGACTGTCTGAAACTTAGATGTGTGCCTGTGAATTTATGGTCGATATATTACATGGTGTAATAAGCTTTTTGCTCTCCTGCATATATTTGCCAAATAAAATCAGCATCATCAGCCTATATATGCAATGAAGGTTTTCACTGTCTGTTGTGTTCTTGCAAAATGGATGGAGTAAGTTGTGAAAACCAAACCAGCCGAACATAACAATTCTGGTCAGGTCTGTCACGTAAATTTCTGAATCCATCCACCTGTCAAGGTTCAAATTAATCAAATATTTGTGTGTTCTCATTGGACTAGAGGACTACTTAATTTCATTGCCTGAATTGCAAAATTCTGAATCCAGGTTCTGACCAGAAACTCTGCAGGTCTTGTGTAGAATCTCAGAATGGTTCTAATGTAGCCTATCATTTTTCCAGACCATTGCTACGGAAAAATCAGAAGAAGGAACTATGCCATTTCTTTGTTATAAAAAAAAGTTCATTTTTCTTCCCAACAATTTATCAGAGCACTTACCCGTCGTTTTACACCCCGAACTCGGTTCACCTTACTCCCTAAGATATTTCTCTCTTTTTTATGTATCAGTCGTATTTTGGACTGAAGTTTGATAGAATCAATAGCTGTATCATAACATACCTTGATATTTTTAAAATGTTTATCACTGTTTATATAAATTAAAATCACTAAGACTGATTTAAAAAATCAAGGTTTTAAATTTAAATAAATAGTTACGAAAATAATTTGGAACTTTCATAGTGATGTCATCCATGGCTTTAACAATTTTCAACTTAAAATACGATTTATATAAAGAGAAACAAAATATTATTAAGTATTAAAGTGAACGTCTTTAATATTATTTTGGAAAGGTAAAATGACCATCATCTCCTATTTAATTGGTGGTTTATTGTCGGATCGACTCAATTAAAGGTATGTAGTATGTACAAAAATAAAATCTAATATGGGCTCTATGTATTAATACATGTCACTATACTATTATATCCTATTATATCCTATAATAGTAGAAATTATATCCTATAATAGTACTATAATAGTAGAAATAACGGGATCTTTTAATTATTAGTGCTCTATTTTTTTCTATTATCATTCTTTCGTTTTCTCCACTATCGTGCAACAAAAAATTCCGTTAATAAGTGATAAGAATCGACTATAAGCCATTGCCATACGCAACAACAATGTTAATTTCTGTTTTATTTCCTTTCTCTCGTCACCAAATTTACTTGATGAAAACTCGTTATTGAACACCATTTTGCTCAATTGTCATCTGCATACTATTTTTGAAACTGACCAATCAGGCAATATCTTTGTGATTGAGATGAAGGGATATGCTAAGATGTCCAGGGGAATTGTCCAAATGCTAAGATTGAGGCAAAAGGTTACATTTGGGATGTCTTTATCTCATCCAATTAATCCACGGATACCATGAAATTAAATGCTTGGAATTAACGCCTTCTATATATTTCAGTGAACAAATCTTCAGATATAGAACTCCCATTTTGCCGAACATTAATTACCAAGGTACAAAACCGAATCGCCCCTATAAATTAAGAGGGATCAGTCGCACCTCGCCGAGCCAACATTCAGATCATCAACCACAAGTTCAGAAAATAAATCAGTCAGTAGCTCATCCGGTTGCCATTGCCAATATAGTTCTTGCGAGTAATCAGTTCAGTTTAAGCCGCTACTAGTACAAAACAATGGCACGGGCAGGAAGCGTCTGCGTCGCCGTTCTGCTGGCCGTCTGCTGCGCCGAGACGATCCTCGTCGCCGGCGCGACGGAGTGGCACGTCGGCGACGACAAGGGCTGGACCTTCGGCGTCGCCGGCTGGGAGAACGGCAAGGCCTTCAAGGTCGGCGATGTGCTCGGTGAGTAGCAATATGTGTATCAACTTTTACAGTACAAATTAAACCACAGTAATAATTAACTAATTACGTTGTGATGATCGATGAGAAGTGTTCAAGTACAGCCCGATGATGCACAACGTGCTGCAGGTGGACCATGCCGGGTACGACGGCTGCAAGGTCGGCGCCGGCGACAAGAAGTACGCCTCCGGCAACGACAGGATCACCCTCGCCGCCGGCAAGGTCTTCTTCATCTGCGGCTTCCCCGGGCACTGCGCCAACGGCATGAAGATCGCCGTGGCCACCAAATAGATGTTGTTTGTTGTGTTGATCCATTTATCAATGCATGTGATCAAAATAATGTGCTCCCCGTTTGTCTTTTATTTAGTTTTTGGGATAAAAAACTAATATTTATACTCGTAGAGCATTTGAATTGTTTGTTCACGCACAAAAAAAATTCAGTTTCATCGTCCTGTTATCGATAATAATTTCACATCAACAATTGATGCATTTGTAATTGGTTTTGACGATTGTCTCTAGATATGTCAATTGGATCCCAATTTTTCATTGGGCTTTCTCCTATTAGAGAACAGGGATGGTTAGAATTGATTTCCCACATGGGATCGATGGGAGGAATCCTGTTCCTGTCGGGTTTTGCAGGGAGGGGAGAGATTCCTTGTGAGACCCGAATATATATGGGTCTAAATTTAAAGTTTTTGTGCTCGTGACATTTGATTATGTACTACAATGTTATGTTTTTATCATATGAATTAATGGCATCTATTATATACTTAAAAATCTATATCTATAACTAATATAAATATTCATATTTTTCCGGTCGTCACATCTAATTTTCGGCCTTTTTCGTTCGTACACAATCTGATTTGGTTAGCAATAGGGATAGAAAAAAATGCAAAAAAAAAAGGAAAAAAAATATCGACGGCCGGCGACGCCACCACCGCCGACCACCGCCGCCGGAGGGAGAAGAGAGGCGGCGGCTCCCAGCGGCGGCGGCGACCGCGGGCGGATCCGGCAGCAGCGGCTCTACCCGCGGACGCCGTAGACGCCGTCGTCGCCGTCGACGCTGCCGTAGGGACGGCCGTCGCCGAGGGAGCACGGACCCCGATGATGTCGCCGCCGCTCCCCGCCGTCGCCCGCGCCGTGCCGGTGAGACGGGAGGGAGAGGGGAGAGGGAGCGGTGGGAAGCGGCACCGGTGGGGAGAGGCGGAGGGGGAGAGGCGGCGTCGGGGGTGGGGGAGGCGGCCGGCTCGGCTAGGGGGGAGGGTGCCGCCGGAGGGGAGCGGGAAAGGCGGCGTCGGGGGCGGGGGAGGCGGCCGGCTCGGCTGTGGGGGAGGGGAAGCGGCGCCGGAGGGAGAGGGGGAGGGGGAGAGGCGGCGTTGGGGGCGGCTCGGCTGGGTGGAGGGGGAGGGGGAGGGGGAGGGTTAGGGTTAGGGTTTTCAAGAATTTGGAATTGCAGATCGATCGAGTGTTGGGCCGCACTTGGGCCGCACGCGGGCCGGCAGATCAGCAAGCGAGAGAAAGAGTATAGAGATATAAATTAGACTTTGGTCGCTTGCGGGCTGAAGAAGAAAGTGGGCTAAAAAAGACCAATAAAGATAAAAGGATTTTTATTTAAATAAATGCTAAAATGATATTTGTATTATCAAAATTAGCAATTAAGCTACGAAAATTCCAAGAAAATTTCAATGAGTGTAATTAATAATATAGAAAATTTAATAAACATTAAATCCAACCATAACATTTTATTTCTCACACTTACTTTAATTATAAATTAATTTAATTATATAACTAACTACTTAAAAATACCCAAATATTTCCAACCAGAACATTTTATTTCTCACACTTACTTTACTTATAAATTAATTTAGTTATATACCTACCTACTTAAAAAATACCTAAATATTTCAGAAAATTTGTATTTCATTTAATTAAATACCTAAATATGTTTTAATTCAATTTTATCTTTTTTATCTTTACCCGTAGCGAAGAACGGGCATTTTGCTATCCATTAAAACATCATGTGGCATCTAAACCGTTACATGGCTCTCTAATAAATTAGTGAAATCTATTATATAATAAAGTCCATTAATCTTTTTAGAAATACTTTTAAACCGTCATGGGGCAACCTACAAATGCTCGTAAACCATCACATGACACTCTAATAAATTAGAGAAAATCCTAGAAATTATAAGAAAAAAAGCAAAATATCTAGCCATCTGTTCTACCTTAAATTGATTTTATGGACCTGTTATTTTCAACCTTTAGATCTTGAGATGATCTCAAATATATGTCTAAAAAAATCTCCTTTATCTCGGCATGCGTACTTCCCCTCCTCCCTTAACATACGTGCATGTCCATGTGCAAAAGTTGCGTTTTGGGTTAGCAGAATGAAAGAAAGGGACTGTGGATGTGAATTGTTGATCTTCGATCAAACGGCTGTGGCACTTTCAAGTGATTTAGCTGAATGTCAGCACAGGAAAATTGATATTAACTACACTAAGTGGGGATGAAGTGTATAGGTTTATATTCACCGTGCTCTGCTTTCCCCACCTCATCCGTACTCCCGCTCTCGCATCTTCCCGCGCCACCAGACCGAGTAGACTTCATGGTTGGCATTCAAGAAACCATCGCCCTGCCTCCACATCGATCATGCTCAGCCGAGCCGAGCCGAGCCCCTTCCTTCCCCTCACTGAATTCACCTCCTACTGGGGGTCTCCATCACCGGAAAGCGTCGTTCAATTCGGAAGGTTCGCTTGTTGAACCATATTTGTTCACTCAATCTTTTGGTCTTGATTTCTTCTTTCATTCACGCTCTATTGATGCAGGTTGATCCGTTCCTGTTGTCCCTCAGATTATTTAAGCATTAAAAAATAGAGAGAGAGAGAGAGAGAGAGAGAGAGAGAGATTTGGTTTTGGCAATTCTTCAGGTTTCTACTATCCCTATTCAACAGGATTCAAACTTTATTCAGCCTGCTGTACACTTTGTTAAAGGATCCAATTCATTCGTGGTATTAGATCAGGACTCTAAACATCACTGGTGGGTATACCAATTTTACATCATTGCTGCACCTATAATTTGTTTTATTTCTGAATTCCGATTGCAGAACGCTGTAGTAGTAGTAGCAGTGCTGCTACTAAAACAAATTATAACCGTCAGGGATGTAACAATCCATTTACTTTATGTCCAAAAACTTACGTCTTTTGAAATGTGCTCAATTGAAAAGACAAACTAAATAAGCTAATTTTTCATATTTATAAGTGGACTAAAATATATTCTACATCCTCGTTTAATCGACTTTATAAGTTGTTTTATATAAACTTTTTAGTATATCACAAATTCATTTACTTTCTGTGCACTTTAATGCCATTAAAAACACGAAGTTGTCTCTGCTGATTGATTTGTTGGTCTTACAGCCGTGCCAAGCCGCCGCTACCGGCCGGGAAGGGGGGTGCAAGCGACCTTTGCTTGACGCCGGCCTTGCATTGCCTCGTCGCCAACAACTCGTGGGCCTCTCCGCCGCTGGTGTCCTGTCCCGTGCTAGCTGTCTCCCTTTACTGGACGATCGCCTCGCCTCATCGCCCGCCACCCCGACCTCTCCACCGGCCATCTCCGCAGGTTGCTCCACCCCCAACGCTCTCTATTCGCAGCGCCATCCACCGGCTTGCTTGTTTAGGAAAGAAGTTTGGTCCCGGGGGGCAAATCTATCATTTTACGAAAATTCTCTCTCCAAAAATAGCAGGAAATCATTAAATAACGCGTATGGTGTCTATCAGCAAACTACCACATTTTGTTGAGTGTCCCAAGAAAATTCAATCGAGTTCTTACAGTGCTCCCAACAAATGTTTTTTTAAGTATCTTGTAGCAAATTTTACCAGAAAATTATGTATATGTTGTTTTAAGCATAGACAAGAACCCTAAGGCGATTAATTCCCCGGGGCAAGGATGGGAACAACGTTCTCCCCCATTGTATTTGCCGGTAATAGGTACAGGGATTTTTTTTTTTGACTTGTGAGAACGTAGATGAGAATACATTTCCATGCGGGGGCATTCCCCGTTGACATTCCTAATTGTATCTACTGGTTGTCGACCCGTGCACCCATATGAGCAACATATATTTCAATATAATATAGTTTTAGTAATTTCAAATATAATGTAGGTATCTCACAATTTCCATTTTTTCCTCTAGTATATTTCTTCAAACAAGAATGCCTGCTTTGTTCAAATAGTTTTTGTGATCAATTTTTTTTAGACATTGCCTCAAAAGTGTGTGTATATATATATGATGGTTTTATTATTATTTTCTTGCTTGATCATATTCGTGCATAGTTGAAAACCGGTCATTGTTCAATTCAGTGAGAAAATTCCCTATAACGTGCTTCTAAATTTTCACTCTATCCCTTCTCTACACCATGAGATTCGGCCACTCTAATATTTTCTTTAATAACTGAAAATTATTATTCAGTGAAAACGGGGCAGTATATATAGTTATTTTGGAAAAAAAAATTAGTCAGTTGACAGTCAACTAGCGGAATAAGTGGGTAGGGCATCAATATACAAAAGTCAGGGTTAAAAAAAAGTGTTTTACAATATTTTCTACTAGTAGAATCAATCTAAACCCTTTATTTTTCCTAATCCAATAGATCATAGCTATTTACACAACCACATCAACTACTTGTATTACAATATTTTTTTTTCTGCTGGTAGAACTCGTAAATTAACGATTGGTATCACTTCTAATATGATAATACTGATAGAAAAATACTAGTAGCAAAGAGCATCATAATGGTCTTAAAAAAGATGGCAAAAACTTAGGAAGATTAAAGAAATTGTGAAAAATTCAGAGGCATTAAGAAGAATTTTCTCATCCTTAATTTACCAGCTGTAGGTAACTTCCTCCGTTTCACAATGTAAGTCATTCTAGCATTTCTGTTGACAGAAAACATGAGGCCTGGGAGATCTGCTTAACTCCAGTGCAGGTCCAAAGCTCGCCTTCGAATGTATGAGCGTGCCAGTTGATTTGATCCTGTAATCAACAAGAAATAGAGACAAAGAATTCGTAGTTAAATCTATAAATGATAGCCGATCGGCTAGGTGCCGATGACATATCATTTATCTTTGAGCCGATGTCATATATAAATCGATCGGCGGTTATAAATAGACAGTGAGGAACTAAATCTATTCGATCGGCTGTAGATATTAAAGACATATAGTTCTTATATTAATATATACTTAAATCAAGTGATTGGGATAGATCGGTCATCGGTCACCATGCCGAGACAGTATAAATCACTTAGATCGAAATATATATTAATAACAGGATTATATATGTTTATAGCATAGCCGATCAGATAGATCTAGCATGTATCGGCTAATACTCCGATACTACTCTATATAAAGATATCAAAACAAGTATAATATACCAAACAAAAGCTTAATATACTTAAATGCAATAATTTCTTGACATAAAGGGCGGATTTAACATGTCACTGAAGCATATAGATCGAATATGGTTAAATTAGATAAGATCGGCTGAAACTCCGATACT